TTCAACATGCGTTGGAGCCAATTTTCGTACAATGAAGGATCACGAAAAAAAAACTGAGATCATTACTGATCAGAAGTCTGTATTAGCTGGCCGTAGCCGATTTCGTTTCCTATTTGTAGTCGTAGATGTTTACATGGAACGAAAGTCGCGTTTCTTGCGTGCCAAAAATGCATTAGTTGAGTGTTTCTTGTATTTATAGATTTGCAACTTGATACATTCAATTGCAACTTGATTAATTTTGATTAACGATCACTAAAATGCTGGCAATAAGCTTCTATTTAAGATCAAAATAATTCTGTCGTCCCTTTTCCCGCCGGTTTTAGTTACCAAGACATTTCGTATGTTTTCGTATGACTTTTCAAGCGATTGCCCGACACATTGCAAAAAAAAAAAAAAAAAAAAACAAAAAAAAAAAAAAAAAAAAAGGGCTGGTAAAGCTATCATCGTTGACGGTGTACATCCTTTGAAAAAAAGATCTTTTCAAGGATTACATTTTAGTACTAAGGTACGAAATTTGAAATGCTAAAGTCTCATGCACCCAAAAAGATGCTGAAACCTACACCCGCTAAGTTCTAGTGGAGTCTCCCAGGTTAGACTTCAGTTACTGAAAAAGTTGTTATTTTACCAGTTAAGAAATAGGAAATGTCTTGGCAACTGTGGACCCCTTGAAGTATGGTCCCCACTCCTTTGTCATATTGATGAAAAATGTAGTATTCTTTTTTTTATGCATGTGTCAGGGCATCCATTATAATCTTGAGTTTTGCTTTCAGTTTCCATGATCACACAAAACTCTATGATTTTACGTTGTGAAAAAGAAATCGTAATACGCTTTTTATGTAATTCAGTTAATCTGAGGCCTACCTCTTCGCTTTCAAGAGCAGGGCAGATTATGAGTATTTTTCAGGGAAACCTGAGTGGAGTCAACGATTGGTCAATCGCACTTTAACTGATGTTGCTAAGCTACGGCTACGGCGTCTGAAAAATGAAAGCCCTGCCCAATCCGAGTCAAACTCTCCTAGATTTAGCCATCCATGTTTCTGTCTGGTATATTCAAGCAAAGGCAGTGTTCGTCTACTCTGTAAAGTAATATTTTCACTTTAAGGAAATTCTGCGCCCCAGAAAAAGAGGAATCAATAGAACGTGACGCACTTCCTTAAGTAACGCAACTCTGTTGATGCCCAATTTAACGTAAGCTGATTATGAATAATTATTACCGGGAAGTCCCTTGTAGGAAGATGACGGTTTCAAGAGGTACATATCGTGCACTCTGACCAGATCGAAGGTCGATTTCCCATTACCAATCCTCACCCCCTCCCGGCCCCGCCTTTCTGTTCAGTCAATACAGGACATGACGTTCAAGGGGGAACTCACTCTTTCTCGGCGCCTCAGGGGTGGGGTTAGATTCGCCCCTCGTAACATAACCTAAATAAACATCAGCTGGTGATTCTTTTTTATAAATTCAGCTGCATGCTTTACTTTACGAAGCAACAATTACTGTTTCACTTTTCGTAAACTTTGCCCTGTTTACTAGTTCTAACGAACTAGACTCAATCAAACCGTTTTATTCCACTCTTGTATTCGCTTATGTACAACGGCTGTGTAAAAAGCTACTTTGCAAAATTAGTAAGAAATCACTCTCTTATACGATATTCTCTACATTGTGATTGGTTGTTGCCAAGTATTGATTTAAAAGGTCATTCAAGGTTGCGTTGACTATGTAAACCGATCAATGTCCCAAAATCACAACAGGCGGTGCATCTAGCTCTTGACATAATGTTCACACTCATCATCTGACATGCGCACGAATCACAAAGTCTTCGACACACTTGCTATCCCTTGTTCCCTTTTTGGTTTACTGATTGTTTTTCCCCCACCAAGCTGTCATATATTTTATTTTGCAGAGAAAGTTTCATTTCAGTCTCTTAATTTTGGTTTCATTAGTATTAGGATAAGAATACTAAACAAGACACTTTTCTGACTAAGACGGTAAGCAGTAAAAAGAAGTAGGATTTTATTAACGATCTTTTCCCACTTTACAAACTAAAGTGTTTCGGAACGAACATTCAACAGCAAGAGGATTTAAATGTGCGAAATAATCTTGGATTTTGGTAAAGATTGATCGCAGAGAAATAGACTTAAACTTAATATTCTGCAGAATAAAACGAGTAACTCATTATTAAGCCTTTAACTTCCAAGTTTAATAACAATGTCTCCCTTCCAGTTTCCGACTTTAGATGTCACTTTTGTAAATAAGTTTGGAGTATGAAGTGTCCAACTGACAAGTTTCTTTATTCTCCAAAACTGTTGGCTAGATAATACATTAGAACTGTAGGGAGAAGTTATTCGTTGAACAGTCTGATAGAGAAAGAGGTAAAGCAGACACACGTTGCATGAATTAGATGTGGGGACGAGAAATTGTGAAGTAAAAGGAACAAAAACGTTCTTTTTAGACCATCGGAAGCGGGAAAGAGACGGAGTTCCGTTAAAGATTTTCTTAGCGATCTTTTGTTTTACCTTTTTCCACACTATAAATTCTTACTCGTTTCTGTTTTGCAGGGAAAGCTTTATTTCTGCTATTTACTCTTACCTTCCACAGCCACTCGATCAGAATACTAGAAAAGACACTTTTCTGACTTAAAAGGAATGCAGTATTAAAGTGTGATTTTAGAAAAAATCTTTTCCCACTTTGCAAAACTGAAATATTTTAAATTAAACATTCAACAGAAAACGATTTAAGGCCCTAAACAATCCAAAATTTTTGGTAAAGTTATATTGCATATAATAGTCTGCAGGATAAAACTATTAACTGAATATTGGGCCTCTAACTGACAAGATCTGATTACCAAGTCTCCTTTCCAATTGCCGTAAATGTCACTGTAAATAAGTTTAGAGAATGAAGTGTTACATCAATATAACACCCTCCAGCTGATAAGTTTCTTCATTCTCCAAAACTGTTGGTTGTATAATATATGGGTACTACAGGGAGAAGTTATGAGTGGAACAGTTGACAGAAAGTGAGAGTTACAGCAGACACACTTTATGCATGAATCAGATCATGTGCGGAAGTAACGGGAAATTTTGATGCAAGAAGAACAGAAATTCGCATGAGGTTATTTTACATAAATTATTGGGAAGCTGGAAAGCGGCGTAGTTCCATTTCAAGTTTTTTTTAAAATTTTTTTATCTAGAGCACAGTTATTTTGCATTGTTTTGTGCTGTTCATTCACAAATTGCCCAAGATAGTTCGATTTGGCGAGTATTACATTTTGTCGAAAATCCCACTTTTTTTTTGGTTTTAATTTTGTTTTTATTTTCTTCTGCAATCTTACGTTGTTTGATTTTTTCTGAGAAATCGACCATTCTTCTTCACACACAGGAGACAGCAGTCATGAAAAATCATGTAGAAACCTTAAAAACAGTCTGGATACTGTTTACATGTCGCCACATTTCTTCTAAATACTGATCGTGACCTACAAGCTACTTGGCTGTGTTATCAGTGGTGGATGCAAACCTTAAGCTAGGAGGGCCCGGTTTTGTGTCGCTTGCCCTGCCGGCTTTCTTTTCCTCTGCGATTTTTTTTAATTTGACCAAGTAAGGAGGGGGGGCGCCTCCCCTAAATCCGCCACTGGTAATGAATATACAATTCTACTCCATAATGTTAACTCTGGTATTTTTCTTAATATCTCTGAAGAAATATAGGTGGCGTAGAATGCTTTGAATATATTCAATGCATTCTACGCCATCTATAGTGACGTATACGCGGCAAGATTCGCAACCTAACTTCTTGACACGCTCCACCATGCTGGAATGCTAACCACACAAGAGGGAGACGAATACCGAGCACACGGTCGGTTTGTGGAGCATACTACTTTTTTTGAAAGCGCCATCGCAATCATGAAAACGGCTGGCCATGGCAGAGAAGTAGCAGTGGCTCATGGAAGACTTAGAATGTAATTTTTAATAAAATCAGTGAGAAGTAATAGGCAAAAGAGCATCACGAGGAAGCACTTGACATCAAGATGGGAATTGGCGATCGACAAGGAAGAAGAACTAGTTACGGGAACCCCGGAACTGTGTTCAACTCCCTAGCCGAATATCAGAAAAATAGAGAATATCACGGGAAAGCACTTGCCTTCGCTATAGAAATTGGCGAAAGGAAAGGAAAAGGTACCAGTAACGGGGACCTCGGAACCGTGTTCTACTCCCTTCCTTAGCGAATATCCTGAGAAGGCTAAAGGATGTCACGAGAAAACACTTGTCATCGCAATGAAATTGGCGACAGGAATGGAGAAGGTAAGAGTGACGGGAACCTAGGAACTGATATCTAATCCCTTAGCGAATATCTGAAGGCTAAAGAATGTCAAGAGAAAGCACTAACCATCGCGAGACAACTAGGCGATAAGAAAGTACAAGGTATGAGTAACCGGAACCTCGGAACCGCGTTCCACCCTCTTGGTGAGTGTCAGAAGGCTAAAGATTATCAAGAGAAAGCACTTGCCTTCGCAATAGAAATAAGCGACACAAAAGAGAAGGTATGAGTAACGGGAACCTCGGAAATATGTTCGACTCCCTCGGGGAATATCACAAGGCTAAAGAATACGAAAAGAAAGCACTCGCCATCCCGATAGAAACAGGCGACAGGAAAGGAGAAGGTAGGAGTAACGGGAGCCTCGGAACTGCTTATCACTTCTGACACCAGAGAGCGGGAAAGACAAACAACTAACGACCAAGTAAACCACAAAAGAGTGTTTCTTCAATGCTGTTACAAGATCGACACTATTACCAACAACAACAACAAAAAAATTCAAAACTCCTGGTGACTGGGTAATGGAGACAACAGAAATCCCAAATTTTGATGTACCATCTACCTGCGTGTTTATTCTCTGATAAATAATGGGTCGGAACCATCAAAATTCATGTAGAGTTTTGCAAGATTTTTACAATAATCTACGTACTAGGCAATGTTTTTTTTTTTTTTATTTGGTTTTGAACCTCTAACTGTTTTACATTCCAAAAGTTTAACTCATGCAAATTAAGCTCATTATTTATAAAACCGTCTCTTTCCCTCCTAAATGCAAACTTTATTAATAAATTACATAACCAAATTAAAATAAAGGGGAAAATTAAAGAAAGAGAGAGGAAAAAAAACATCTTCATTCAAAGTAATGACAATCTAGATCAACAGAGTACACATTATTATTCATGAGAAGAAGTTGGGTAACTTCACCCCTTAAATTTCATATAATGAGATTATATGTTGGAAGTGACATTTTGCAAGAGAGGAACTTTCTAACACTAACCTCTAATAATCCTGAATAATTCTGAGCATGTCTTTTAGGTCAAAATACAGTGATTTAAGTCGAAAACTGTGCAGTTAAAATATTTACTCAAACATCTCTCCCTACTATGCAATAGTTAAGCTGTGTTGTTGATTCTATTTACAGAAATAAGTTTCAAGGCATAAAAGAGGATTCATTCCATAACTACTCAGTCACTACTTTCCAAACATTGATAGCATTAATCTTCCAACAATCTTCTTGTCCAAAATTCTAATTAGCTTCAGAAATTTTTATCATTCATATTTGTAGTTAGTAAACCCTTTAAGAAGTATTCCAGTTACAGCACATGAGCATCAGCTGTGTGCAAAAAGAAAAGGAAAAACAAACAAACAAACAAACCGGAAAAACCAGTCTTTCACAAGTCCCTCTCGAAGTAAACCACTATTGCGATTCATCATTACAGGTAATTCCTCTTACAAACAAAGATTATTTCGTACCAGAGAGGATAAGATGAACTATAATTTATATGCTGTGACTGAAGAGGAGTAAAAAGAATAAGGTTTAACTAATTCAATGAAACTTTTTCCTTGAGGCAAGTAGACAACGTCCTTAAATTTATATGGTAGCCATGCTTAATCTGTATAGGCCTCCACCAACATGGAGAGAGTAAGGAAGCTGAAGTACCCATTCAGACATAAACTAAGTAACTATTTCCCACTTCATGGATCACAGCCATATGACTTGCAGATCAAATTTCCATTACAGCACTGTTGCATCAATGTGTAGTTTGACAGGAAGTGGGCCTGCTTCCTCATTCTCATCACTTGTAACCAGCGGCATTTTCTCCAACAGACTATCATCATCTAACAACATAAGCTCACCAACAACAGATGCCTAAACAAAGTAGACCATTTTGTTTTACATCAGTAACACATCATGATTATGACAAAATTTTGTGACCTGTTTTAAAACAACTACTGTAGCTGCACGATCACTTAACAAGGAAATTGAGAGTTGTAAAACTGATGTTAATTGTAAAATGAATAGAACTTTTTACTAATCAAGCAAAAGGGCTGTACGGGTGAATATTGGCCCAAGGTTGTGCAAGTACAGACTGAAACCAGCGAAGGACGAGGCCCAGTATTTGTCACTACAGCTCAAGCAAGCAATTTTATTGAGTAGTGTATTATATAGCACTCAGACTGAACTTGTTTATTTTGTGAGAATCAGGTACCAAAGAACCAATAAGAAGGCTCAGATTTACCTCAAGATTACCTTCCCATAAAATAACAAGCAACTATTGGATGAGGTCAAGCATGATATCATGCAAAACCATATTCAGTAATTGTTTCAATTTACATTTTTTACAAGTATTCAGCCATTTTGAGTTTCTACAAACGTTTAATGACACTAAAAGGATGAGGGGCTTAGAAACTTAGAAGATTTTGAACTTGGCATGATCAATGCAATATCCACTGCAGACTTTTCATTTATAGTGTCAACTTTGTCTTTTGACTGAAGGCTCTTGACTAATCATACGTCTAGAGCATAACAATTTCATTTGACAGAACTTATGCTGTGACACTCCCTGAATGACATCACTTTTAATTCAATTTGCTTCTTTATCAAAAGTAGCCAATCAAATTCTATGCAAAGGAGCAGAAAATATCCCATATTACTGTAGGTAACAATAGCCCTGCCCTTAACTCTTTAACTCTCAAGATCTCATGAGTAATTCTCCTTACTGTCTGGCAAATGATTCTCATCATGTAAGTTTGGAGAATTTGGGTTTTAGATCAATTAGTAATCCCATAATTGATATTTTTTTATTCTCATCACTTGTCTGCATGATATTGTATAGATACAGTAAGGAAAAATTCTGTCTAGGTCACTCACAGGAAAGAAGAAAAATGCTCAGAAGAAGGGCCTCATGCTTCACAGTGATTGTATCACTTCAGTTTCTTGTTCAAAGTTTAATACTACGATGTATTATTAATTTTTTATTTTATGACAACACAGTACACAACACTGCAGACTGTACCTTGCCCTTTTCTCTAGGAGTAGTAGTCGCTGTAGCACAACATAACCATATCAAGAAGAAAATGGACAGGAAAAGGGTGGACGATAACAACCAGAATGGAAGGCCTGAACGCTGTGAAACACATTGAAGCCACTGGTGTCCTCTATTAACAACAGTGCTAGAGTATGAATCATCACTGTCATCTGAAAAAATAAATAGAGTATGTACTGTAAATTGACCTGAAAGCCAAGTGTTTCTACACTACCAGTGAAAACTAAGATAATGGTAACAACAACTGTCTCTAAAGCCCCAGAAATTATACAATTTTCATCTCAGCCATTCAACAGATCCAATAGGTACATGTACAGCCTGTACATGTACATGTAATTCTGACATCAGATAATTATCTGTTAAAAATACAACATGGATACTTCTATTTTAAATTAAAAAATCTAACTTGTTGTGCACTGTTTAAAAAAATTGGAAGCTACACACTAAGGCATTCATCACTCAAATGGTTAACACCAGTATTACAATTGTTTGTGAGCTGTACATGTGATGCAGTTTTTGTGTACATGGCTATGTTACAAGGCAGTTTTTGAAAAGGTTGTTTCAAATGTTAAAGCCTTTCGCACAATTGGATGGTTATATGGTACATATAAAGTTATTAAATGGATTGTCTTAATTCAGTAAGTGGGAAATTTATTTCAAATCCATTACATATAGGCAAACATCTCCTTTTAAAATTTGTAAAAAACCTTTAACTCCCAAGATTTGATTAATAATTATCCTCAAGCTGCGAGACATTTCCTAGTTTAGAGCATCTGGTGTTAGATCAAGATAACTTCTACCTGATAAATTTGAGTATTCTCAAGACCTGTTTGCATTACTGGACACTGTAAAGATGTCATTGTTAGTTCAGAGAATTTAGTATGGGATCAACTTATCATCCCTAAATTGATACTTTTCTTTATTCTCAGCACTTATCTGTGTGATATTGTATTGATATTGTAAGGAGAAATTCTGTCTTGGTCACTTATGGGAGTTAAAGGGTTAAGGCATAATGGTACATGAAGTAATTTACTATGGCACTCTTTGCACAATCAGGTTTAGCATATAACTCACCACTGTATCTGGCTACTTGTGGATCATCATTCTCGATAACATCTATTTCATCAAACTTTTGTACTGTGATAAACTCTCGTGGTGGTTCATTAATTTCAATTATGCTGATACCATTGCTATCGCCATAGCTGTAATAATAGGATGATGACATCCTGTAGTAATATCCAACTCTGTTCATGAACCCACGGCAATACTTGCTGACGTCCAACACTGGGTATACATACACCATGTAAGTCCTGAAACTCCACTGATCTGGCATTCTTTCCTGAAATAAATTTATGTACTTTGCATAAGCTTTGACTCTTGCTGTGCGCAGAGTTAATAAGTTAGCTTCTCATTTATTTGCACCATTGTTATCTCAAAAGATGTACAAAATCAGTATAAAACAATACAGTTTTTACATACAGTGGACTCTACATGAAGGGTTTCTAGCAAATATACCCATTTTATCCATTGGTCTTCTGTGCCTGAAAATGAGGTCAATAGAAAGGAAAACAAGGGGGGGGGGGAGGAAAGGAAAAGAGAGATTGAGAGAAGGCCACAGATTTGAAAGTTTAACCATGCTCAGACAATCTTGGCAAAGTGCTATCTAAAGAGATTGAAATAAAGCAACAACATGCAGGTTTCCTTTCATAACTTGCACTCTGAAGGGAGGACAAAGTAAACCATGGTGACTACATGTTGAAAATTGCATAAAATATTCTATATCATTTTTATGATTTGTTTTAAAAACAACCTACCTCCAGGTATGTCTCTGGGGAAGGGATGAGAGGTTGTGATTTACATCCCACAACACAGGCATAAAGGCTTTCACTTTCTTCATAACTTTCTCTACAGCCTAAACATAAAATACATAAAGAAAAATGTTGTTACATGTAGTTTCTTCATGAGAGGGGGACAAAAAAAATAAGTCTCCATAACAAAACAAGCCCATGACATCAACATTTTGCCCTAAATACTTGAACACTGAGCTGCATTGTACAAGTACCAAGATACACTTTACCTACTGCAAGCTGGGCCATTAGCAGTGGTTTAATCCTTCACACCCTAACAACGGTATTCATATTCTCCCTACTGTTCTAAGGTGCTGACAAGGAGAATTTGTCTAACAATCAAGAGTTTCTTCGGTTGGTGATCATTTCCTTTATTCTCATTAATGTTTGGTTCAGTGGTTATATTGTAAGGAGAAATTAGATGCTAATCACTCTTAAAGGTTTAAGGGTGAAGTACAATAAGTTGCAAATAGAGGGTTTAGAATAGCCAGAGGACCAACAAGAGGGTAGTTTTGAAGGCTCGAAAAACCTTATGTTCCTTGGAATGTCTGGGCTCTGTTGGGAAACTTCCAAGATCTACATGTAGAGAATTTATAGTCAAATCAAACAATATCCCCAGATTTTTATTTCGCCTTCCTTCTTGTCACTTTTTTACTTGAAAATATATTAACATTGTAAGGATGAATTTATTTTTGGTCACTCCCAAGAATGAAAGAGTTCCTTAAGGTTTCCTTCAAACAAACAAAAATCTTCAACAACTCCACCCACTTCACAGCTGCTATTGACACACCTGCCATTGGTAAATTTATCATGTCAAGAAGTATCCTGTTTACTTCTACAATTAGCAGTTGTGTCAGTGAATGGATTAAGAAAATAGGCAACCTTTGCACTAAGTTGCAAAATGAAGAAAGGTGTTGACAATCATTGAAATATATACAAACTTCTAAAAAAGTTTACTTGTTCACTTGAATTATTAACCATTAATTCAAAGAACCTGTTATCTCCAAAATTGCATCATCTTCTGACTTAATTTTTTTTCCCAAACAAAAATAGCCTTGTGAAGTTAAGGAGTAACTCTCGAGGAAAGAAATTTTTTTAATGATTTTATCATGAAGAGAAAAACAGAAAACACCCAACAAACAAAAAAGGAAATCACAGCTGCAACTTGCGGGTAAATGTGCCAAATTTTGTTGTAATTTTTTTGAAAAAAAAAAATCATTTAAACATGTTACACCACTGAGCCTGCACTGTATATTACAACATCTGTTCACATAGCACAAGGGAAACTGATTTAAGCTTGACACTAAAATAACATAATCATCATTTTCATCTAATGATATTTTAATGAAACTTTTCCCTGGTTTCTTAAAAGGTTTACGACAAGAGAATGTGCAAGTAGTTACCAGCAACACCTTTGGCAGGTGTTATTTAAGTTTAGTAACGTCTTCTCAAATGGTACCCTTTTAAGCAATGTCTCAAAACTAAGATGGGATGCAAATGCTCTGGTTTCAAAAATGACCAACAGAAAGCAAACATCTTGGTCAAACTAAAAATTTGACACTTCCTGCATAAAACTAAAAACAGCTACACTGTATATGGGTTGTTATTTGATAACACATGGACAAATTTACATTTGTTGAATCTTAAATATTTCCATAACCCCAAAGAACCAAGAGGCAGAAATATGCATCCGGCTTCAGTTTTTTTATGAAATCAGGCCGACAGAGAGTGGAAAAAAAAAATTACAGTTACCTTAATATTCAAATATTTGTAGACTTAAATGAGGAATCAGAAACAAAGGAAAAAAAAATCATTCTTCTCGTGCACAAAATAGAGCAAGCTACGGGAAACATCAAAGGCTATAAAAAATGATAACACTTCACATCATCTTTAATCAAATGGTTTTGATACTCCGCTTGATCATCTCAAACGTGCACTGGCTTGTAAAATTGCGCTGAAGGCATATGCAATAGAAAAACTAGGAAAAGTTGTCCCCTGTCCTAACTTAAGAATGTGTGGTTGTCCATCATTTTTATAAAGCTTCCCACCGAATACCCATGAAAGGATTTATACCCAAACAAATAAATGCTGCTGCCTCAGCTACAATATGTATCCAGGCAACGAAGACAGACTTAAAAGAATCTCCCGAATTTTTCCTGAATAAATCTTCGGTTTAATCGAAAACAAACAAGGTTGGAAAATAAAAATCCGTATTTCAACCCTGTACAGACAACTTACAATGCATGTTTAACACACTAGTTTTCTTCTCAATTCAGTGAAGAATAAGATCTAGCCAAACTGAAAGCATGGCTTATCTAACGGACTACAAGTTTACCTGATACGCAGACTGCTGTAAAATTTTCGGAGGTTGAGTATCCAGCCTTCAATTGTGCTATAGCAGATAGCCGGCAACCTTGCTTACAAGCAAGCGAAGGTTCTTCCTGAATACATAAGAGAGAAAAAAAATAAGAATCCTAATTTCAACCACACTGAGGCGAAGAAGCGCCAGCTGCTACATAAATGCTTTGTATACCAGCAAGGAGTGGCGAGATCCTCAACAGAATTCAGAAATGTACGCAAACAACTTCATAATTTATAGATTACGATTTACTACCTTTGGGTATGTATGTAACGGGTAGCTCCGCTCACAGCTTTCCTTGCACTCATCTAAGATACCCGACGATTCATCAGCGAAACTACACTGCAAGATCGAGAGCAAAACAAAGGCAAGCAAAAAGTGAAGACAGCATGCACCAGTAGCCATCTTTGTTTGGTTCCCTGTCGATAACTCTTGGAATACAAATCACGTGACTTAAACACGAAAAACAGGTTTCATTCATCAGCGGTTTCAATCGTCCGATAATGTTATGGCGACCATACCGCTGACAAAGAGCCAAATGACCCTGGGCTCCAGATCGCGACCACTCAAACTGTCTTCGATATTTACTATAGAAATGAAGAGAGGACATTTTCGATCCGTAGGTTAGCAACCAATATAAAGATTTTGTCGAGAAGTTACTTTAGGAAGCATTATGACGGAGGGAAAAAGAGCTTCAGCTCTCACTAGAATATCGACTGCTCTGTTTTATGGCGTTTGCTCTTTTTTGATCGTGGTAATCAACAAAACTGTTTTGACAACTTACAAGTAAGTTTATTAATTTCTTATGTAAAATGATTACTCCTGAATGAGTGCTCTGATGTAAGCTTAGAAATGTCGGCACGGCTAAATTTTCCTGTTGTATTTTATAGGTTTCCATCGTTCCAGTTTCTCGGAATTGGACAGGTAACGTAGCCGCGTGTACGTGGCGCTAATAGGCCATGAATCTGGTTTCTTGTTTAATTAGAATCTGATCTGTTGTTGCTGTCGGTTTCATAAATCATTTTCTCTTGGGGCACGACCGTTTTAAGAACTTATCAATGTATACATCTAGACTGTTTGAGACATAGTGGTCTGATGCTGTTTTGACTCTGAATTTTTAATCGTGTTTGATGAACAGTAGTTTTTACTCAGATGCCCAAGACAGACCTCCTATCGCAGTAAGACTGTTTGCTATGTGTTTCAAGCAGCGCCACGTAACATGAATTATTTGGCTTTGCTATTCCTTCCCCAAAATAATAATATTTATAATGACATAAAGAGTTCTTTTGTAAATTTCAAAAATTTTAAGACGTCATAACTGTCCGTAAGAAACTTGTGAATAAGTTGTCAATAAAAACATGCTTTGTAAAAAATTATCCACTCTTCATACATGTTTAGTATGTTCTTTTCATACCAAATATAAAAGAAAATAAGGCAAATATAATAATATCTATTGTTCTGTATTTAAATCATATTGATTAATGATATTACTGCAACTGTACATTTTATGATATATATTCCTCATTCTTTAACCCTTCACACTGATACATCAGTATGCATATTCTCCATACTGATCTTATTACATTTCTTTAGGTGCTGAAAGGAGAATTTTTTTAACAATCAAGAACCTTTTTAGTTGTTGATCATTTCCTTTATTCTCATAACCTTAATGTTTGATTCTGGGTGATACTGTGGGGAGAAATTAGATGCTAGTCACTCTCAGGGGTTAAAGTATAATTTCAAATTACCTGTACATGTAAATGTTAGTGGCCTTGTTTTCTTACTCCTTGAACTCCCATGAGTGACCAAGACAGAATTTCTTGTTTCAATATCCCTACAGTATCAAGCAGAAAAGTGATGAGAATAAAGAGAAATATTGATCAGGGCGTGAAATTAATTTTTTTTTCTGATAGCCACTTGGCTACTAAATTTTTCAAAGTGATAGCCAATGCAAAAAAAGTTGGTCGCCATTTTTAAAGACAAACAAAACCTTTTTTCCAAAATTACCGCTGTCCTAAAAAGTTCTGCAAAGTGGACACTAGGATGGGTGATATACAACGTTCAAGTTCATCTAAATCCAAACATCTAATAATCGATCAAGATGCATGTGCTGCGTTTTGGAAATTAAACAAACTTAACAAGGATGTTTTCTGCGGATTTCTCTCTGAAAATCTTTCTAATTCTCTATATCTCTAAGTATGGTTATGATGAAGCATTCTAGTGGCCAATTTGGCGACTACTTTTCAGGATTTGGTCGCCAAAGTGAAAAAATTTGTCGCATTGGTGCCTGTATCAGGCGCAATTTCACGCCCTGTTGATTAGGGGATTATTAGTTGATCCAATAACAAATTCTCAGAACTAAATTCTAGGAATTGTTTGGCAGTCACTTGCAAGAATTACTGATGAAATCTTGTTATTGAAAGGGTCAAACTCTTCCCTCCCCCTTCCTGTAACTCCACCAAGAACAAATAAAGAATAAGTGATGAAATTGAACCAAACTAATCATGTTTTGACCTTTTATGCCCTAACATCAGTATGCAAATTCTCCATACTTTTCTCTACATATTTTTTTAAGAACTGGAGTATTAGTTTAACAGTTGAAAGCTTTTTTAGTTGGTGATCATCATGACCTGTACTCTCATGACCTTTGTGTGTGATTTGGGGCTGATGTTGTAAGGAGAAGTTACATGTAGATGTTTCTCACTCTTTGGAGTTGAAGGGTTAAATTTACCATTGATAGCCTGACTGCCACATTGAGCTCTACTAAGATCAGTGGTTGAGCATCTGAACTGCAAATACTGAGTTGGTAAATCTTACAAGCAAGTTTAATTGCCATTGGAAGCATTCAGAAAGGCCTTTCAGCCTTTTACTTCCTAGTATTACTGTCAGACTTAAAAAAGAACCCACCATCATTATTTCTTAGGAATTTCATTAATGTTGATATTGTGAATCGAAAAAAAAGAATCAGGGTAAAATTTCACTAACCATATAAATAAATTTTATTTTTATTTTTCATCAATAGATGTTTGCCACAGTTGTAGTCCTTTATTGCCTGAAGTTTGGTGGTGTTGTTTCATTTCCAGATTATTCGTTGTCAACTTTTCAAAAAGTAAGTTGTACAGTCATTTAGGTATGTAGTTATAATGTTCAATGAATATTTTCACCTCATCAGTCAAATTTTATTGAGACCAACTAATGGATTAACTTACTTGTTGACATTCACAAAATAGCGATTGAATTAACAAATAGATTCCAAGTTGCCATGCATCTGTTCAGTAATAGATCACAGATGACGTCAAAATGTGGTAGGAACAAAAAAGTGGCACACGAGGCGCAGCCGAGTGTGTCACTGATGTTCTTACCACATTTTGACGTCCTCTGTGATCTATTACTGAACAGACACACGGCAACTTGGAATCTATTTGTTTTATATAATAAAGAATTAAAAAAAGTTTTAATGACGTCATCTATACGTCTGTCCTCCAATAGATCATAAGTGAGAACCAATCAAAACATGTGCATAACTGAGCTTATTATATAAATTTTGATATAAATTAATTTCAAAATGTGTTTTTTGTGATCTACGCTTAAGGACAAAACCACATTATCTCACTGAAAGCAGAATACTTCCTTTGTTTAACTTATAAAATAATCTAAAACACCACTCAAAGTTAAACAAAGGGTAAAACAAAAGACTGCCTGAAAATACTAATGAGCTAGATTTCTTTAGCATGAGTTTTTTGAGTGCGTTTTGAAAAGTTGCATGTGTGTGCGTGCTTTTTTACATGTGTTTTGGGCCGAGTACCTCTGAGCTGTACTGTAGGCAAAGTATTTTCTTTAAAAAATTATTTTGTTAGGATTAAAAAAAATGTAAATGGTGAGTTAATTGGTCTCAATCATGAAGTTTGAATTATTTTTAATTCATTGCTTTTGCTTTTGCTTTGTTTGAGAATTATTCCAAAATTGAATGACACCAATACACCTCACACACATGGTAATCCTTAGCTGGATAATTTTGAAGTTAAATTATTGTACATCAGATACAAGAATGTCTAAAATTATCATTTTCAATGTATAGGGGATTCATTTTCTTTTCTTTTTTTTTTTTTTTTTACCATTTACACAATATTTTCAGGTTTGGCCACTTCCATTATTTTATGTTGGCAATCTTGTTTTTGGATTAGGAAGCACTAAGAGACTCAAGTAAGTGGTTCCAGTGTTTTTTACAGTTTGTGTTATATGTGCGCTGATGGTTGTCAGCAGCCCACTTAACTGAGGAAATCAAGAAAGGAGTGAATTTTCCCAGGAGAACATGTTATTAAACTATATCAAAAGATACAAATACTTTTGTTTTCCTTTTCCTTAAACTTGCTATGTAGGTTAATTAATAAAATTGGAATTGCATCATTTAGATTATAACTATGCTATATTTTGTTTGTTTTTCAGCCTTCCCATGTTTACTGTCCTGCGAAGGTTTTCCATTTTGTTTACTATGATAGGAGAGGTGTGGCTGTTAGGGTGAGTAACACATACAGGCTCACCTCACAGTGAAAGAACATAAAAAAAAAATGGTTGCACAAGAGATCTTGCCAATGGGCCAGACTGAAGCCTCCCCCAGTTTCTTTGATATGAAGTAGTGAGGAGTATTCCTTTTCCCATTTTGCCCTTTTTGACAGAATGACTGGTACCCATTCATGCCTGGGACAGAGAGAGAGACACTGTAAGAAGTTAAGTGTCACCCCTTAGAACACAGCACACTGCCATGAAACCTGAGACTGATTTCATGTATTTTTCCTCTGCATGAACTCCATTGTGCACTGGTCTCAAAGTCATATTAGATACATGTATGTAGTCTAGATACTGAACACTAAATAAAAGTTCTTTTACATATGACCTAAACTGACTGTAATGATTTTTAGGTCAAAGGCAACCTTTCAAGTGCAGGCTACAGTGTTCCTTATGATTTTCGGTGCCCTTATGGCAGCAAGGTAATCAATTGAAAAATTATGATTCGTAAAATGAAAATTTAGATGGAAAGAATGGTTAAAGTGCGATAGATGTTGGACTTTTCATATTAGTAACAGCATGACTATGCTTCTGTCATATATGTTCCTGTAGATGATAACAAAAGATAAATTGAACTCCACACAGTTACATGTACCAGTAATCAACCTTTTTCCTATATGCGTCAATACATGAGAAGAATGGTTAACACATGTTCATATGTTTTTTTCAACTGATACAAGTTAGTGGCCATGAGATAGCAATATGGAATGTGTTTTATTTGAGCATGCTGTTGTTTTTGTGATGATTATGGGGAAGTTTTGGATAACACTTGGGTATTCAGATTGCTGATGTACAGTAGACACTGAGTGTTCCTCTCCTTTTTTTGTTTTGTTTTGTTTTTGTATTTTTCTCATCATGTCATATTTATATAGAATTGTATAATTTATATGCATAGAAGTAAGACACATTGGAAGACAGTTCGATTTTCATGTATAAAGTTTACTTTCTGAAGCTTTTGGTGAAGGCCAACATGTGGCTGTTGATCACAGTGCATGTGAAAGTAATGTAATACTTGACAATCTGTACTTGAAAAGATCACAAAGTCCTGATGTTTAATACATATTTTCTTGTTTCAGTGGTGATCTTGCATTTGATGCCACTGGTTATATATATATACTTATCAATGACGTTCTCACTGCTGCAAATGGTGAGTACAGTAACAGTCTATATTTTGTATATATTTTTCTAAGCTACATGTACAAGAATGGCACACACCACCTACTGCTAGGGCCTGGGTTACATTCCTGCACTTGGTGTCACATGTAAGTTGTGTTTGTTGTTGTTTGTTGTCCCTTCTTTGAAGGTTTTGCTCAGACTCCTCAAGTTTTCCTGCCTCCATTAAAACCAACTTTCAAAATTTGAGTTATGCTAGGAAACATTGGACATGAAGAGCCACCTCATGAGATGTCCACTGCTAAATCCCCATTATTATTATTATTACTATAATTATTAGTTGAAATTTATGATCATACATGTAGATAAATTTAGTATCAGTGAAATTACTTCTAATTCTCATACACCAGGTGTTTTTGTCAAGAAAAAGTTAGAGTCAAAGGCAAGTGATGTACATGTGTTTATTGCTGTTTAACTCAATAAATGTAAATTGTAGACCTTGGCTCTTGAATGATTGTAGTAGACACTATCAATTTATAAGTGTAGAGAATGTCTTGGTTGGGGAGTTATTCAGGAATTCTACTCTTTATTTATCAATTAGCTTTTTCTATGGCCAGCTTTGATTTACACTGTATGGTGGAAGCCCAGAAAGTATAGTTATTAGTCTTACCCAGTTTCACAGATCATTAACCCTGACTGGAGTTCAAGCCTGAGAGATGTAATGAATGCCTAAAGCTGCAGACCTTCTCTTTGCCCTGGTCCATAAGAATAATTCCCTCCTTCCCCCCCCTCCTCCCCCTAAGAAAAATTTTAAAAAATAGCAAAAACACTGTACATGTCAATTCTTTCTTTTGTATCAATCACTGGGTACCTGAAGGCTCTTCTTCTCAGAAATCTGGGGTCTCTTGAGCGAAGGTGTTCAAGTTTCCACTCAGGCAAAAGTTTTCACTTCTGGCATTTACATGTATGCTCTGCAAAAGAAAAGTCTGCATAAGCCAGTACCAAACATCTTGACCTTGAGTTACTTGATACTATACAATTAAAGTTGTAAAGTTGAACTAAACAGCTTAGCAGTACATCAGAGAACAGCATGGGCTAGAGTTTTATGACTGAAGTCAGTTTCAATAAATTACAATTTGAACAGCTTTTCTGTATCATTCATGGAAAGAAACTTTTTTTGGTACATCTAGGAACTAGGAAAATATGGTTTATTGTTTTACAATGCCATGTTTATGCTGTTTCCAGCTTTTCTTATTTCCTACTTTACTGGAGAATTTGATAAGGTAAGATAAACCATTACATGATTACTCAGTCTCAAGGAGATCTGTTTGCTTTGATACCCTCAGTAGAACATAAATTTAATTCATCTGAGCCACTGCTTAGTAATGTATTCCATGTTGCCATGGGTCTGTGCAGTAATAGATCACAGTTGTACAAACCAAATTAATAAGACCTCTGTTTACCAGATAAATGATGTCAAACAGACTCTATATGTAACTATCATCTGTTAACTAATCCTAACACTGTAGGTAATTTGTGTTATACTCTGTATCATAAATATATGGTAATAAAAAAAAGTCTATCCTAACTTAATCTACTCACATAGTGTTTGTACTTACTTTGGAGGCTCTTATGAACCAGCAACTACTTCTTTGCATGATCAGTAAATAATTGATAGAGACAGTATTATGACCTGATTAATTTTATCTGCCTGGTATTTTTAGGTTTTACAATTTGATAACTGGAAAGATCCAATATTTCTTTTACACTTCATTTCCTCTTGTATTATGGGGTAAGTAAACTATTATGTGTAATGATATGTTGTGTGATCACAACTCTCTTTACTTCAGCCAGCAATTTTCCTCTGACAATAAGTTTGAGTCAGGTCTTTCTACGAGATTAAAATTTTCCCTTTTTTTATTTTTTTATTTATTTTTTTTCTTCCAAATGAAAATAATGAACTGTCTTCAAATGGTTAATCGTTTGGACTTCCATTTGGATCAGAAAAATTAAGTTCCGTCTATTACAATTATTTATCTGCCCATTAATTACTAAATAACATCTTGCCAATCATGCCTTTTGATTTTTGTGAAAAAGATTACTTTTCCCATATCCTAATTACCTTGGTTATCATTGATAATAATTGAGATGTACATGTCTTGAGTGTGTACAAACATCATGAAATCATCTCTTGAACTGTTCTTGATCCAAATCTAGGTTTATCTTGATGTATTCTATAGTACTGTGTACTCAAGCAAATTCTGCCCTCACTACCACAATTGTTGGGTGTCTGAAGGTAAACTGCCATAAAACATCAGCTAGTAAAGATGTTTTAAACACACTAAATTGATTGTCTTTTAACCTTTAGAGCTGTGGGGGTGCATAACACATCGAATGTCTTACAGTATCACCCCCGAATCAAACGTTAAGGATACGAGAATGTAGGAAACGATTGCTGACTAAACAAGCTCTTGATTCGAAATTAAGAGATCCTCGCAGCTAAGAAAACTACTGAAACGAGTAGTTAAAAGTAAGACGTGAAAAAAAATCAAGCCCGTATGGGATTTGAACCCCTGACCTCTGCAATACCGGTGCAGCACTCTGCCAACTGAGCTAACAAGCCAACTGGGAGCTGGTCAATGTGTTGGGTCCAAATAAACCATCCAAGTTCACCTTTCATCACTTGGATGGTTTATTTGGACCCAACACATTGACCAGCTCCCAGTTGGCTTGTGAGCTCAGTTGGTAGAGCACTGCACCGGTATCACAGAGGTCATGGGTTCAAATCCCATACTAGCCTGAATTTTTTTCAGGTCCTATTTTCAACTACTCGTTTCAGTAGTGTTCTTAGCTGTGAGGATCTCTTAATCTCATTTCTTCACCGCAGTGCAAATATATGAATTTCATATATCTAAAATCACCTTTTAAGCTCTTGATTGTCAAACAATTTGTCCTTGTTGGTACTGTAGAGGTTAAGGGTTGCATATAATTCATGTGTGAGTGTGTGTGAAATGTAACTGGAAATGTTGTTCAGCATCTCGTCATGTGTTATGAGTTCCAAGATTACATAGAATGATTATTATGTCTGTGTTGTCATTGCATCCAATTTGATGACTAGGATATTTTGTTCTTTCCAGAATATTTTAGTGACTTACTTGGGTATGTTCCTTGGAGGAGATTATGTCTTTTCAGTGCGAAACTTTATGGGGCTCAATGTAAGGTGAGGGCAAAATTTACCAGTGATAAAATGGTTTTAGCAAGTTTTCATGTAGACGTATGACACTAAATCACAGTAACACCAACAATGCAAATTGCTTGCTTCATTTCTGTCAATTGATTAACTGACAGAATTGTCATGCAGAAAATGTTCTAGCTGATCTCAATGCTGTAAGTGACTCAATAAAGATAGATATGATTAGTTGAAAATTAGCTGTCAGTAAAGTATTCTTTTGTGGGAACGCACACTCTCCAAGTTTATTACTATCCTTGTTAAAGAGAGGAGAAGTACACTGTGGGTTATCAAAAAAACAAACAAACAAAAACAAAAAAATACAGGAAAATAGAAAAAAATAATAAAAAAGATAACTTAACCCATAGGTTTGGAACAAGCAATAACAACAACAACAACCACAACAACAACAAAAGCAACACAACAAAACATGAAGACATAATTGATTGTCTTCTTTTACCGACCAACATTCATCTATATGGTAGAGATGATTTAATTACTTTTAATCTGCATTTCCATGAGCATATACTTAAAACAAATGTCTGCTACTCTCCACGCAGTGTTTTTGGAAGTGTGATCTATTCATACATCACATTCAGAGAAAAAGATCCTCCCTCGACTCAAGGTGCAACAGCCAGCAGTGATGCAAAAAAGCAGACTGCCACTGCTTAATGGCTAGAAACAGTGCTGCAACTTTTCTCTCAATTTGACACACATCTTACACGTCTTATACAAGGCTTCAGTGTAATAAAGTATAGGACATATAGTTTGGTACGCGTGAAGTTCAGCTTCTGCATCAAAGCCATTGCAAAGCTGTTCTGGTGTTGAAATTCGTGGCGTCGCTAATTGGGAACAATAGTGACTGGTCACAAAATTATGTGTTATGGATACGCGTAAGAGATAGTACACTAGCGCCGATTCGATGATATATTTATTTTGAAACAAATTGATGATAATTATTACAATTTGCTTCATATGTAATCATAATTTATAGTTCCCTTTTTGTTGGCCTGAATTTTGAGACCTAGAATCACAGGCAGATCGCACTATGGGTTTGAGGTCAATAATTGTAAAAAGACGATTCAAACGTCTGATAAAGGCTAAAAAATATCACAAATGTGTCGATCAACATTTCATTTAACTTTATTGAGATATTCAGGCGGAGATGCAATTTAGCTATGCAATTTTCAGAGCTTTATTTGTAACCCTCATAGATTTTGTTCATCTCATGTCAACAATTATTAACCACAAACACATAGTGTGGTCTGCCTATGCTAGAACTTGATTAAATTACGAGGGACTTTGCTCCAACATATTATTTTTGGGTGAAAATGGTTCATGAAGTGATTTTAGATGTCACTTCCAACATCTTAAATAATTTCAACCTGTAAATAGTTTCCGTATTTAAATAGCCACCTAAGAGTGAAAGAAAAAAATTCCATGCACAACCACATCATTAATTTTAAAGCAAATATTGTCATGTATGAAGATAAAAAATCACCGGTTAATGAGCAACTATTCCGTCGTTGTTGAATATGAGATGATAGGCCAAGGCCCGCAGGGATAATTTGGCTGTTTTCATCTCATATCCCACAAGCGGTGGTAATTAAAATGCCCCAAAATATAGATAAATCTTCCCAAATTCATTTTGTAAGAACAAACGGAATGTTATTATGTACAAAAACACTTTGGGTTTAACTCGTCTTCATATGCGCACATGGTATAATGGCTCATAACCCATGATGGTGAAGCCAATGAAACCTCTTGAATTTCATAATTAATTGATCCAATTTTTAATGACTTATCATATTTTATTGTCTTTTACATCTGCATCACGGAATTGCTTTAATCTCTGACGATAGAGTATACTTTTATATGTCAGATTGAAAATTACGCAGGAACTAAATAAATCTTATCGTCCAACTACATTAAGCAGAGCACAAGTAAATCGCGGGTCGAGAGCAAAATCACCCGATATTGGACAGTTGGTTATTTTGGACTGTAAAAACACCTGTTCTACCAGTCGGCTGCGCGAGTTACGCTTCTTTATCTGCTTCGCTTTTATACGCCTTATAAGAAATGCGCACAAAATAAAGCATTTGGATGATAAATTACGTATTAGATAGGCCGGCTCCTCAAAATACGACACACTCGTTCAAAACACTCAGCGTTGCTACACACCAAAGGTTCTTATAAGATATGTACAGTTGTCTTGGACACATTTGCAGAACGCAATTTACTTCGATGTGAGAAAATTATTACTTGTCAGTGGATAACTTACGAGTAGATATGAAATTATTACTTGTCAATAGATAACTAATGACACTGTGTTATGTTCTAAGAATTATTTTAGGCTCATGGTGTCTAACCCCAACAGTTTACTTAAAGAAACTTAGTTTTATATTTCACGAGATAAAATGATATTTACCATATTTTAAATCAAGATTTAACATATTACCCCATCATTATTTATGAAAGTGAGACATGTAATTCTTTTCCTGCAATTGTGGTTTGGGTTTGCCAGCCTAAGAAGCAAATTGAGATTATTTGTGATTTTTAGTCCCATCAAGAAGGGAAGAACAATCATTAAATCTCCATGAGCCAGATTACATGATGAATCCGAGGACTGGGTACAGAATGCCTCAGAGGAATCATGGGTAGATTGGTTTTTGGGGGAACAAGGGAATACTCAAGTCTAAACTAAGTAAAAAAAAATTCCCCACTGAAGAAATCTGGAAGCAAATTTTATTTTTTGGTTAACCTGATATTATAATTAGTTTGACAAGTATATTTTTTGGGACATATATAGTTAACATAATTTTATGGGTATTCCTTGAAATACAGAGAAAAAAATTAAGTATTGGGAAAATCTGGTCTGTTCAAACTACTGATAGTAGGGTATTATTGCCAAAATCATTAAAATGCAGCATTTGCTAACAGTTGGCGTTTGACATTTCTAACTTAACGTACAGACAAGGGTGACTTGCATTACATACATGTAATAACTGCACACCCGATTGCAAAGTCATTGAAACGTGAAAATCGTTTGCAATGAACGACGAGGACAAATGGCTTGATGGGTACTCATGTACGCGTTAACCACAAAAAGTTGCACGTGCTAAACGATGGAAGCCAACCAAGCTTTCCTGAAAGGAAAGAATTTTCATAAGAAAAAAAAGATTTTTCATAAATAATAGAAAAAGGAAAGCACTGATTACGTAACTGTGCAAACATTTCCCATAACGCTCTTGGGTCACATCGCTCATGGATCATACAATTTAGGAACCAACGCTTCTGCAATTGAGTGTACACGTTCAATTCTATCCTATGGTAACCTACCCTGTGCACGAACAAGAAGTCGCATAAGCAAAAAATTAATGCAAAAAATCAAACCGCTCGGATCTATTAATTCTAATATTTCTTATCTCACTTTACAAAAGAGTCTTCTGAATTAGTAACTGTAGTTCAGTACGCTACTTTTTTAATTCATTCATGGATTTTGCGCTCTCACTTGAAAGTTATTTTTCGAATCAATTTCCATCATTCTGTAAAACGGATCTCCGTGAAACCTCAGCGATGCAAGAGATTCGTACAACCTTGTGTATGGTCGCTGTTGGACACACAAAGAAAGAGACTTTAAAATTTCTTACCTCTAGAATTTAGAAATCGAGAAAATTTCGTGCAATGGTCGCTTAAGAGAGAGTTTTCGATGACTGGATACTGTATTATTATACTAGTTTTGTAAATACTAGTCTATGTTTCCATGTAGTAATCCCCCTACCCGAGCATCTGTTGTCATCCATTATTAGATTTACTTCGACCCAGTGACTAATTTCTAAACATAAGGACACTTTGTGGCATTTTTTTTTAGGACGTGAGGACGAAATTGCTATTGTTATTCAGTGGTTCACGCTGCCAGAATGAAATAAATATTTTCAGAATCTACTGCAGTACTTTAGTATACCAAACCTGTGTTAAAGTGCTTTAAAAATCGACTTCGATTATCTACGAAATTTATCGTCACAGTATTACCTCTGGATCAATCATCCTTATTAAGTGCTCGAGGATAAAGGAAACGATGGCCAACTGAAGAAGTTCGTGGTTGTTAAAGAAGTTATCATTGTCAGTGCTAAAGGAAATGTGCAATATGGAAAATGTTTATACAGAGGTTAAGGTGTGATTAATTAGAAGAGGTTCCAATAGGGTTAAAAGTTGGTTCACTTTGTAGAGACGGGATGGAGAAAATTTTTACATCGGAATCATGTCAATGTTATAAGGAGTCTGCTTGACTTCTCTATATATATGGTTATTCTTGGCCGGTTTATTTCTAATGCACCTAGCTGAGCCTGTTTTTAGAACTTAGAACCAAATGTTCTCTCATAAAGCTATCAGAATTTTCTAAGTTAATTCAAATTTGATCGAATTGAGCATACTGCAATGCCTAGTAAATAAACCCCTTCAGGCGGAAGGTATGTGGGCCGATAATGGCTACGGCTGAGATATTGTCCTACAAGGAATATTTGGCCCAGAGGCGAAGCTGTGAATTTTGAGGACAGTCTCTCAGCCATGGAAATATTAGTCGACGTACCAGAGAGAGGATTGTTTTATTAATAATCCCTCAGTATCGCATGTTTGAACAGCAAATTTATTGACTTTTTTGTTCTTTCCGGAGCAGCATTATGAATCAACTTTATAGTGTCACTTTCCCTGGAATCTACAAAACGAGTTCGGTGTTCTTTCACGTAAAGAAACAAAAATGAATTGAAACTCTTGAGCAGCCTTTTTTCTTATTGGTTATGTTTCCTTTTCGACGGAAATAATCGATAGGCAAATATCGAAGTAGATAAGGGTAATTGCGTGATAACTGTTGGGTGATTTTGCACCACGTGAGGCTTAAGTAGCCCATAGAGTCGCGCAAAAATTACTCGGTGGGTTATAACAGTCATATCACTATTATCCAAAACTTTGATCGGGGCAGTTAAAAGCCTCGCCAAAAGTTTTTAATTGATGAAGAGTTGATTTTTATTGTATGCCAGTCAAGTCAACTTGTTCATGTGGTATATTTACCTAAAAGTACAGGGGAAAAAACCCAGAAAAGAATAAAGAATAAAGAATTGGTTTACAGGTCTACATCCAGATAACCATAATAACATTAACCACTAATTAGCTCTCACCACATGAAAAGCGAAAACATCTGAATCCAATTGTTTTCTTAACAACATTGTTACAGGAGTAAGAACAGATTTAATCATGCGATGTTGGAGTCTTCTGCAGGACACTGGCCACTCTGAGAAGCATAACAGGGTTACACAAAGTACATCGGAGTTATGTAACTTAATAAACTACAGTATATGAATGTTCCATCTTCATATTAATTGAAAAAAGGGTAGTTTAGTATTATCAACTGGGTTGATAACGAAAATTGTCCACCGTAAAGAGTTTCTAACCCTAGCCCTAACCCTAAGCAAATAAGTACGAAAAGATGATTGCTTCTTGATCTTTCAGCACTTAGAAATGACAGTCACCGCTTACTTCTCCTTGTGATTTCAAAATACTTTATCCTTCAAGCAGGCTATGACAACAGACAAGCTTATCAGTTAGAGGGTGAAAACTTAGCGTCGCACACGATTCTTTTATCGAGGAATCAATAAAATGAATGGCACTCAAAGAAGAGAATTACAAATTGGTCCTGGGACTTAAAAAGTTAAACCGTACCTCCAACCAGTTCCCTCATATCGCCAAACAATACAAACGGTGATTGAGCCAAAAATACACTTGATAGCCGGCGATGTGTACGGAGAGGAACATTTTTCTCTTGAAAGATAAATCTACGTGTTCTTTTTGCCTTCAATTACATCTACAGGGTTTGTATTGCTAAAAACATAGCGAAGCAAAAAAATGTCGCCATGACACAAGGGACAGTGTAAGAACCCTCTTCCAGCAAAGTTAAGATTAGAATCTGCAAGGACCCATTATTTTGCTGATTATTCATCGATTTTTTGACACAGTACGGAAGCGAAGAATTTTGAGAAATCGAGGAATCATGAGAAGAGTGTGCGAGAGCGATTTTTTTCACTTCCCGTCCCACAAACCCTTGCGTTCGCATTTGCTTAGTCCTTTGGGGTCCTTAGTTTTCTCGCACCTCGGATAATTATCTTTGAGAAAATTCAAGGTCTGTTAACAACTTAGTAGAATATATTTCGCGGCAGGAAAACGCACTAAACAAATGGTCGCTTTTACAAAATGTTAAGCCACACAATGTAACACCTATTATCAGGAGTGTCAAAAATGATAATACAAATTTACACTACTAACAATGCAAAAAACGTACAGAAAGTGTTGGCAGCTAAGCTAGAGCTGTTCATGGAGATATTATGTGATAATAAGAGTATTCCAAAAACATTTTTGATGTATGTATGGAAACCTTTTCATCCTTGCGATAATGCGAAAGAATACTGGCCTGTTTAGTCAACTTTTCATTCTGACAGAAGTACTTGTGGCCAGTTCTTTGTAATCTCTTTCTACGCTTCCGAGAGGTTAAAATTTCTTTTTCCGTTATTACAATTTTTTCAGCCTGAAAGTTTTATTCCAGTACAGATGTAAAATGTGTCTTCTACAAATTCTGAAAGGTCAGCAGACAGCTCTTTCATCTTGTGAAACTCCTATTATTTGGAAAGTATGTCGGAAGGGGTAACATACTAAAAGCGTTTTTAGAAATCTCATTCAATGCACACTAAGAACTTGAAAAAGGCCAATGAGAAAACTGCGATAATGATGCACCACGTGAATTGATTTGTCTTCACTGACCTGAATTCTGGACAAGTCAATGCAAGATCGAAATTCGACATGGCCGACTGTCTTTGGACCAAATCAGGTCTCGTGACACAGTTACGATGTCTTTCATTGATTAATATACCAATAATTATTCATTACTACTGGCTGTACAATATTCGTGGTTAAGAACTTATGTTTGAGTAGTTAAGTTAAATGCTGGTGTGGTGATCCTGTGGTCACTATATATCGCAATAGCTGCGAGTCGTTGAGGTAGTTTCGGTTTACACATCACTAAGCTTGATATTCAGGACTATCACAAAATAAATGAAATAGTTCAGTGAGGTTCATATTTTTTTAAAATCCTCTTCTTCTTTAATTATCTGTAGAGGAAAAAGACAGCGTCATTGGGGTAGATCAGAGATGGTATTGATCTTTCAGGCAGTCCATTGGTTAATTAAATGAAATCAGTTATGTAGTTATCGAAATATCCAAATTGTTTAAATTTGAAACTCCCTGTGCTAGCTGAACTTCGAATTCTCCCCCCTCCTTTCATATAACATAACAAGCGCTTGAAAAAAACCTTAAACAGCTCTGTATCATATTTAAATGTTGCAAAAAAAAGGTTGAGGTAAAAATAAAAGTGAATAGATCTTACATTTACACAAAACAGATGAAGATACCATGAATAGTTATAAAGTTCTATCACAAATGTTACAATTTGATTGACTGCCAATCTCGTGATCCATATTGTCGAGAGGAACAATGTCCCATTAATTTTTCTTGATAACGATTAGAGTGAGTAGCTAAAGAGTGTGTTCATATATATATATATATGTACCAAATGAAATTAAAAACTAGAGCCCCTGTTTTCAAGTTCTGAACGACTAGTAGATGTATGATAAACAATTCAATGTAGATTATCCGTTCTTGATTTCTATTATGCGGTAGAAATGTCGAGCTCATATTCTGATTGTTAAATGGATTTCCTATCAACTTATGTCCCCAGTTGGACTATTTCTTCTCTTGTGATTGAAATTAAATAGAGTTTGGCGGAATTTATGACATTACCATGACAACCATACACCTCCACCCTCATTGCTGCCCATCGGTACCACGCGAGAGCTTGAAAACGAACATAACGCGCCGT